CCCGCGGCCCACCCGCGACCACGTTCAGGGTACAAACCACATTTTCCGGCGCCTGCGGCGGGCATCTTTTGCATTCGTTCCCGGTGGAGAACCCGTGGCCCACCCGCGACCCAAACCACGTTCAATGTACAAACATTTTTTTTTGGCGCCTGCGGCGGACTGCTTTTGCATTCCTTCCAGGTGGAGGTGGCGAGCCCGCGACCCACCCGCGACCTAAACCACGTTCATTGACCAAACCAATGCCGCACAAACGCGGCGGCGGATTTTTGCATGCCGTCTGAGCCCGCAAGGACCTGTTCAAACCCCGCGCATCCACACCAGCCCGTCCAGCAACTCTGCCTTGGCGAGTTGCCTTGATCAGAGAAGGCGGGGAGCATAAAGGGGACACAAAGGATTGCGTCGCAGTTATCTTGAAAGGAGGGGGAGGCAGGAGGAGTAAACAGGGGACGAGGAGAACGCGGGACAAGAGAGGATGTAAGGATATTGTGGAGAAAGAAAGGGAGGAGCAGGAGGACGAGGGGGGGGAGGAGGGGGGGGAGGAGGAGGACGAGGAAGGGGAGAGGCCGGGGGATTGTGGAGCCGCTGTGGGCTTTAGAGGAAAATTTACGATATTTCACGTTGTTCCTCATCATTCTGCTGATGTTTCCTTTCTCGTTTTTTTTTTTTTTTTTTTTTTTTTTTCTCTCTCTCTCTCTCTCTCTTTCAATCTCTCCCACTCCCATTCCCATTCCATTCCCATTCCCAATACCATTACCATGATCATCCCCCCAATTCCCATTCCCATTCACATTACCGTTACCATTACCATTACTTCTACCTTTATCTTTACCTTTACCATTACCATTACCATTGCCATTACAATTGCCAGTGCCATTACCATTGCCATTACAATTGCCATTATCATTGCCATTGCCGTTGCCATTGCCATGGTATTGCCATTGCCAGTCGCCACACCGTTACCATTACCGTTACCATTACCATTACCATTCCCATTACCATTACCATTCGCCACTACCATTACCATTGCCATTATCATTAGCATTACCAACACAATTGCCATTACCATTACCATTACCGCTGCCATCACCATTACAATTCCCATTCCCATCACCATTGCCATTCGAATTAACGTTACCAGTACCATTTCCATTACCATTGCCATTATCATTACCACCACCACTACCAATTCCATGCCCGTTCCCATTCCAAGTACCACTACGATTCCCATTCCCATTCCCATTCCCATTTACCATTACCTTACCATGACCATGACCATTACTATTGCCATGGCCATTGCTATTGCCATTGCCATTGCCGTTGCCATTCCCATTGCCATTGCCATTGCCAGTCCCATTACCATTACCATTGCCATCGCCGTTGCCATTGCCATTGCCAGTCGCCACCCCGTTACCATTGCCATAACCATTACCATTACCGTTATCGTCACCATTACCATTCCCAGTACCATTATCATTACCACTGTCATTGCCATTACCATTACCATTGCCATTGCCATTGCCATTCACCACTACCATTACCATAGCCATTCGCCACTACCATTACCATTACCATTACCATTACCATTGCCATTGCCATTGCCCTTCGCCACTACCATTACCATTGCCAGTACCATTACCATTCCGATTCGCATTCCCATTCCCAACACCATTACCATTACCATCACCATTACAACTGCCATTGCCATTACCATTACCTTTACCTCTACCTTTACATTTACCCTTACCCTTACCATACCCATTTCCGTTACCACTACCACTGCCATTTCCAGGCCCGTTCCCATTCCCAGTCCCATTCACATTCCCATTCCCGTTCCCATTCCCATTCACATTACCATTGCCATTGCCATTACCATTACCATTGCCATGGCCATGGCCATTGCCATTGCCATTGCCATTGCCATTACCATTGCCATTACCGTTGCCATTGTCATTGTCATTGCCATTGCCAGTCGCCACCTCGTTACCACTATCATTACCGGGAACCATGACCAGTACCATTACCATTACCTCTGTCATTACCATTACCATTCGCATTGCCATTGCCATTGCCACTAGCCACTACCATTACCATTGCCAGTACCATTACCATTGCCATTGCCATGGCCATTACCATTGCCATTGCCATTGCCATTGCCATTACCATTGCCATTACCGTTGCCATTGTCATTGTCATTGCCATTGCCAGTCGCCACCTCGTTACCACTATCATTACCGGGAACCATGACCAGTACCATTACCATTACCTCTGTCATTACCATTACCATTCGCATTGCCATTGCCACTAGCCACTACCATTACCATTGCCAGTACCATTTCCATTGCCATTCCTATTCTCATGACCATTACCTTTACCATTACCATTACCATTATCATTATCATTTCCATTGCCATTACCATCACCTTTACCTCTACCTTTACCTGTACCCTTACCCTTATCATTCCCCTTATCGTTACCACTACCACTACCATTTCCATTCCCGTTCCCGTTTTTTTCTCACATTCACATTCCCATTCCCGTTCCCATTCCCATTCCCATACCATTGCACTTACCATTACCATTGCCATTGCCATGGCCATTACCATTGCCATTGCCATTGCCATTGCCATTACCATTGCCATTACCGTTGCCATTGTCATTGTCATTGCCATTGCCAATCGCTACCCCCTCACCATTACCGTTACCATTACCATTACCAGTACCATTACCATTACCTCTGTCTTTACCATTTACCTCTGTCTTTACCATTACCATCACCATTGCCATTGCCATTCGTCACTACCATTACCATTGCCAGTACCATTTCCACTCTCATTCCCATTGCCATTAGCATTACCATTACCATGAGACTACCGCTGCCATTACCATTATAATTCTCATTCCCATTCCCAATACTATTACAACTTCCATTGCCATTACCATTACCATTTCCATTTCCAGTGCCATTACCATTACCACTACCACTATCATTTCCATTCCCGTTCCCGTTCCCAGTCCCACTTCCATTCCCAGTACCATTACCATTACCATTACCATTACCATTACCACTGCCACTGCCATTGCCATTACCATTACCATTACCATTACCTTTAACTCTACCTGTACCTCTACCCTTACCATTACCATTACCATTGCCATTGCCGTTACCATTACCGTTGCCATTGCCATTGCCATTGTCATTGCCTCGCTACCCCGTTACCACTATCATTACCGTAACCATTACTAGTGCCATTACCATTGTCATTACCATTACCATTACCATTACGTTTGCCATTGCCATTGCCATTGCCACTGCCATTCGAGGATTTCAGTAGGAATCGTTCAGTGGAGGGTTTCAGTAGGAATCCACATGTGGAGGATTTCGGTAGGAATCGTTCAGTGGAGGGTTTCGATCGGAACCCTTCTGTCGAGGATTTCACTGTGAATCCTTCTTATGGGGGCGTCCAATAGGAATCCTTCTAGGGGGGAGGGCAGATGTGGCCACGTCGCATTCCTTTTTTTTCTCCTGGCGCCCCCCAAAAAAAACAAAAAAACAACACAAACAACACAACAACCATGTTTTTTTCCTTTTTTTGGGGGGGGGCGCCAGGAGGAACAAAAAAAAACAGAGAGGTAGCAGGAGGGGGAGAGGGAGGAGGAGGAGGAGGAGGAGGAGGAGGAGGAGGAGGCGGAGGAGGAGGAGGAGGAGGAGGAGGAGGACGACACTGAGCAGAGTTTGCACAGACACAGTCGCGAACTCAGCGCGAAACCCTCGCGCGCGCGCTGTGGAACCCCAGCGACTCCACAATCCCCCGTTCTCGAGGGGGAGGAGGGGGAGGATGATGATGATGGACGACAATCGGAGGACGATGATGGAGGCCGATGAGGGGGAGGACGACAATGGGAGGACGATGATGAAAAGGACGTGGGGGGGAGGGAGGACGAGGAAGACTAGGAGGAGGAGGAGGAGGAGGACGACGAGGTGGAGGAGGAGGAGGACGATGACGATGAGGACGAGGACGAGGAAGACTAGGAGGAGGAGGAGGACGACGAGGTGGAGGAGAAGGAGGACGATGACGATGAGGACGAGGACGAGGAAGAGGAGAAGGAGGAGGAGGAAGAAGAGGAGGAGGAGGAGGAGGAGGAGGAGAAGGAGGAGGAGGAGGAGGAGGAGGAGGAGGAAGGAGGAGGAGGAGGAGGAGGAGGAGGAGGAGGAGGAGGAGGAGGAGGAGGAGGAAAGAGGAGAGGAGGAGGAGGAGAGGAGGAGGAGGAGGAGGAGGAGGAGGAGGAGGAGGAGGAGGAGGAGGAGAGCGCCATCGACAGGGAAGGTGGGGGCCACGAGGTCCGCCGGCTCGACAACTCCCGCGTCGCCCGCGCCCGCCCCCTCACTCGTATCCGCAATTGCGGGGTGCTACGATACCTTTTTTGGTAGGTTTTGGAGCCCTGTGGCGCGTTCGGTCCGGGGCCACCTGGGGCCGGGGGGGGGGTCAAAATCCCGGTTTGGGGGCCTGGGAGCGATGTTGAAGGTGTCTGTGCTTGTCGTGGACGCTGTGATTGCCGAGTAGGCGAGTGTGCGCAATAATGCATGGTTTTCAAAGGAAATGTGTAGATTTTTGTTTCTTGCGACCCTCTCGGGGCGCATCTTAGGGGCCTTTTTTGGGGCGTCTCGGTAGCTTCAGACACCGCCTGGGGGCCATCGTGGGCGTCTGGGGGCGCTATGTCGGCGAATCGTGGTCTCGGTGGTAGGTTTTGGAACCCTGTGGCGCGTTCGGTCCGGGGCCACCCGGGGCCGGGGGGGGGGGGGGGGGGGGGGGGGCAAAATCCCGGCGTGGGGGCCCTGGGGGGGGGATTATGGGGGGGTAAACAATTTCACACGCCTGGAGACCCACACGGGGTCGGCGGATTAACATTTTACGTTTTTTGTTTGTAGACTCGACGGACACTACATCTATTTTGGGGTGAATCGATTATGTAGTCGATCTCCTATTCGAATGTTTGGCCAGGGCCACGTCTGTCGACGCTCGGAGGGATAGGGGCGAATAGCCCATGGTCGGCGACTGCAAAGGGTATGCTTTCACCAGGGTGTGGTTTGCGATCGGCACCGTTCGGGCCTGGAGGGCGCGGGCGGTTCCAGAGGAGGAACTGGTACCCATACCGCTACCCCTTGGCCGTTTTTTTTTTTTTTTTCGGCCTGCTGGGGAGGCCCTCGTCGCCGCCGCTGGATTCGTGTTGAAATCCAGGTACGGGGAGTAGTGGAATTGGTACCTTTTGGTTTCCCCAGCCATTCAGGCCAGAGACACTTTTGTCGACACTCGGCGGCGATGATAGAGGCGAATAGCCCAGGGGCGGGCATTACACGTACACCCGGTTGTTGAAGTAGGTCTTTTGGACTCCCAGGTACAATTTTTTTTCAAGCGCCTTGCTACGTCAAGGTATTATAGGTTTTTGGGGTGCGTTCTTGTTCTTTGGACGGGCCCGAACCCCCTCTATTTTTCGCCTTCCTACTTCATGTTTCCACCTGCTTCTTCCGACTGATGGGTATTCACCTGGGATCCTTGCCGAAGAAGTGGACTATCGGCGCATACACGTATTTCAGGAAGGGAAACAACACGCAGACACAATCAATCGTCGATCCCCTGGAACATATATGGGAAGATGTGGACAGCGGGGGAAAACGAACACCCTGAACATATAGGAGCATTTTGGGATTCCTGGGCTTTGTGTGTATTTAGTTTTGTGTCCCTGGGCCCCTTCAGCATTGCCCCCCCCCCCCCCCCCCCCCGGGTTAACCGCCCCCATCGTCGCCCTCGGGGCACGAGGTCCCTCTTTAGCCGCGCGTCCTCTCAGTGGCAGATCGTGGGAGCCTGGTATGCCCTCTTGATTCCGGCTTCAGCGTCGACTCGCGTCGATTAGCGTTTGGAGTTGACGAGGTAGCGCCGATTTAGCGTCGGTAAGCGTCGATCAGCGTCGATTCAGCGTCGATTTCGCGTCGATTTGCGCCGATTCGCAAGAGCCAGCAAGATGGTACGGGAGGCTCCCATGAGTTGCCACCGAAGCGCGTCCTTGCTTCTTCATTCCGCTCCTCCATGCCTCACCACAAAGCGCTGCGGGGTCCACGAGTTGTCAGTCTGGCGCTGCGGGCGCCTCTGCCCTTCCGATTCTATCCCTGGCCCTACAGTTGGTTCCGCCTGCAAGTCGCAGTCCCTCAATTTTGTGTTTTAATTTTGTTGTGCCTGGGCGCTTCTGGCCGCAGGGATACATCCGTGCTGCGTGTCGGAGGAGCGTTGGGCCCCGCCTTGTGCAAAAGCACCGCAATCAATGCGCATTCGAGGAAGTAGAGCAAATGTTCATTCCATCGAATCTGGCACGTTCTGACTCGTGTTCCTGATGAGCCCGCCGCCGCCGCCACGCTGCGCCCTTGAC